TTGAATACGAGCTTCCGAAATCGACTGTTTAAATTCTAATTCTTCTCCTTCGCGTCGGCATTATTCTCATTCCCGGTTCTAATATCTGCTCCCCGTTTAATCACAAAATTCTCCGTTCCCAAACAAGTGCGTGGTGCCACTTCTGTAGATGGATGCATTTAAAATGCAGTGGTATAACCACGCTGAAATATCACAGATTTTTAATGTCCCACCTGCACAGGAAATTACATCTTGCCGCTCCCAGTAACAAATTCCGCAACGAGTTCCCGACCAACTTCTATCCTGTCTTCAACTACATTTCCCCCAGCAATAACGCCTTCTTGATTTCAAACACTGACAGTTCAACTATTTGCGACAAACCCCCATAGTAACCAAGCCAATCCACTCTGACCGACACTTAAGTCCCTGAATATTCTGCAGTTAAACTGCAATGGCATCTATGAAAGCGCCTGAAAAAGCTGTTTTAATGTGCGAGTACCTTATTCACATTGTGGTTTTTCAAGAAACCAAACTCAACTATAAAAACCGCGCTCCCTCGTTAGAGGGTGGAGTTCTAATTACAGCAATTCACAACTCTTCTCTACGATTAACATAATAGTGGAAGACAGAACTTTGGAGGCGCCAATTTTTATCCCTCCCCTCAGTAGGTGTCCTAAGGACTATAAAGAAACCATTTCAATTCTCCTCTCAGAAGAAAAAGTATTGTTCTAGGAAATGCAAATGCTCATTTCTCACTTTGGTGCTCTAAAATGCCAGAGGACCGGCGCAGGCTAATCTAGGTGCCGAAATTACTCAATCCTCATTTACCCTACCAAATGACCACCATCAAACTCGACTGCCATATGATAGAAGTTCATTAGCATCATCACCTGACATATCACTCTCATCCTCCTCAATTTTAATGAATCTTCTCATTTCTGAGGATATCTTTCTGCGCCTCATAAAACTTTTATAAACTTAAGAAAAGCGGACTGGAAAGTTTTTTTTAAATGATATCGAAGTTACTATTGCAAAGCTACCTATCCAGCCGGATGTAAATGGCCCGGAGCGGATTTTTCGTGATACTGTTCTCTTTGCATCTTGTCACCATATTCCTGCAGGACATCATCGTTTCTTTATACCTGGACCTGATTATTTTTATACAGTTCATTCGTTTCCATGAGCTTTTTAAGTTAGTTGTATGCTAATCTAGTGGTTGCGGCGAGATTATTAGAATAGCAATTTTGTTCCATCGAAACTCAGGTGCTATAAAGATATAAATTATAGAATACCTTTCTTTCGAATGTGGTTTTCAGTTGTTAGTTTTCTCATTGGAATAAAATAGTTCCTATTGATCCAGTTTTCTCTTTGTATTGTAGTTTTTTTTTCAAAAGTTCAATAATAAGTGTTTCCTTAAATTTTAACAGGACAATAATTTTTCTTTTAAATGCGAAAGTTTCGAAAACTATTATTATCAAAATCAAAATGATACCTAACCTGTTCCTGCAATGAAATTTTAGTTATGCTATTATTCCGGTTTTCGAGGAAACTGGCGGAATAACTGTGCCTGGCTTGTTTTTTTTCTAGACGAGTTTTAAATTTTAACTGGCCACTCTTAACAGATTTTCAAAATCTCAGCTGCAAGGTATTGACGTCTTGTTCAAATTTAAAGAAATACATCATTTAATTTTTTATTTTTTTGTCGAAAGAAATTGAAATGGGACAACTATTTGGTCTTTTTAATATTAAATAAGACGCTAAATACATCACTTTTTGCTTATGATAGAGTAGGGGAGTAATTACGAAAACATTAGATCAATTTGCTACAGGACAGTTAAAATATTCAGCGTTGCTGGGGCTTAAAATTCTGAATGAATGTTTTTTTTTACAGCTCCGTGAAGTGACGATGAACGTAAAAATTTCTAACTCTTGAATCGTTTTTAGATGTCAATGATTGTAGTGACGACATTTCTATAGGTTCGCAGAGTGAATTTTAACTTGTTTTTGAGTTCTCTTCTTCAATTTGATAAAAATAAGGCAAATGAAGGCACATATATAGTTCGAATTGAGTTTTTCTGTTTATTCACGCCAAATTAAATTTTTCGCAGTCAGGCTATCGATTTTTCATTTATTCAGTTCATGTGCTCAAGTGACTGCAAATTACACTCTCTCATTGAAAAGTGAAAAAACTGAACGACTTCTAGTTTCGAATGTGGTTTTTCCCAGATCCAGTTTTTTGTTGCGTCATTTTTAACAAAAAGGTCAATCATAACTTTTCCTGAGATTCTCCGAGCTTTAAGGCCATATGTTTTTTTATTTGAAACTAGAAAGCTCCAAGAATTTTCATTTTTTCATTTATTTTTTCAAATTATTGTTTTTTGATTCTTTGCGCTGATTGACACTTTTCCAACTGTCTGTTGGCTATGTTGTTTTAAGGATTTTTGAAAAGAACTATTCTGGTTTCTTGTAACTAATAAATGCTAATGTTGTGAGGAATTGCGCTTGAATATAAGTTTCAGAATTAAGTTTTCTCGGTGCATATACAAAACAGTCCCATACAAAACAGTCCAATTCAAAATAGTCCAAAAAAAATCATGAAATGAGCGAAAAAACAGTCCAATACAAAAAAAGTCCGGTTTAATGTCGCCGGTGGGCGCGCTACTCGCGCGTCGCCGCTTTGCGGCGATAAACAGCTGTAAATTTCGTATTAAGTCCTACCCTCTGTTGGCAAGCTCGCAACTCGTTGGCGCGACTGCGGCGATCACTATTTTGTTCTTTGTTTGTTGAACAAAGGACAATTCTGGGCTTGTTAAAACAATTATTACTGGGGACTGTTCTGTATCGGACTGTTTTTCATTCACTTTCATACTTTTCCGGACTGTTTTGTATTGGACTGTTTTGTACAGACACGAATTTCTCAATGCGCTAAATTGCAAGTGATGGGAGGAATTGCACTTGAATATAAGTTTCAGGATTAAGTTTTCTCAATGGGTTAAATTGCAAATGGTGTGAGGAATTGCGCTCGAATATAAGATTCAGGAATAAGTTTTCTCAATGGGTTAAATTGCAAATGGTGAGAGGAATTGCGCTCGAATATAAGTTTCAGGATTAAGCAATGGGTTAATTTGCATATGGTGTGAGCAATTGCACTTGAATATACGTTTGAGAATTAAATTTTCTCAATGGGTTAAATTGCAAATGGTGTGATGAATTTCGCTTGATCATAAGATTCAAGATTCAGTTATCTCTATGGGTTAAATTGCAAATGGTGGCAGGAATGGCGCTCGAATATAAGTTTCAGGATTAAGTTTTCTCAATGGGTTAATTTGCAAATGGTGTGAGCAATTGCGCTTGAGTATACGTTTGAGAATTAAGTTTTCTCAATGGGTTAAATTGCAAACGGTGTGAGGAATTTCGCTTGATCTTAAGATTCAAGATTCAGTTTTCTCTATCGGTTAAATTGCAAATGGTGTGAGGAATCGCGCTTGAATATAAGTTTCGGAATTAAGTTTTCTCAATGGGTTAAGTTGCAAATGGTGTGAGGAATTGCGCTTGAATAGAATTTTCAGGATTAAGTTTTCTCAATGGGTTAAATTGCCAATGGTGTGAGGAGTTGCTCTTGAATATAAGTTTCAGGATTAAGTTTTCTGAATGGGTTAAATTGCAAATGGTGTGAGGAATTGCGCTTGAATATAAGTTTCGGGATTAAGTTTTCTCAATTGGTTAAATTGCAAATGGTGGGAGGAATTGCGCTTGAATATAAGTTTCAGGATTAAGTTTTCTCAATGGGTTAAGTTGCAAATGGTGCGAGGAATTGCGCTTGAATACGTTTCAGAATTAAGTTTTATCAATGGGTTAAATTGCAAATGGTGTGAGCAATTGCGCTTGAATATAAGATTCAGGATTAGGTTTTCTCTATGGGTCAAATTGCAAATGTTGTGAGGAGTTGCGCTTGAATATAAGTTTCAGAATTAAGTTTTCTCAATAGGTTAAAGTGCAAATGGTGCGATGAAATGCGCTTGAATATAAGTTTCAGAATTAAGTTTTCTCAATGGATTAAATTGCAAATAGTGTGAGGAATTGCGCTTGAATATAAGTTTCAGGATTAAGTTTTCTCAATGGGTTAAATTGCAAATAATGTGAGGAATTGCGCTTGAATATAGGATTCAGGATTAAATTTTCTCTATTGGTTAATTTGCAAATGGTGGGAGGAATTGCGTTTGAATATAATTTTCAGGATTAAGTTTTCTCTATGGGTTAAATTGCAAATGGTGTGAGGAGTTGCGCTTGAATATAAGTTTCAGAATTAAGTTTTCTCAATGGGTTAAATTGCAAATGGTGTGAGGAATTGCGCTTGAATATAAGTTTCAGAATTAAGGTTTCTCAATGGATTAAATTGCAATTGGTGTGAGGAATTGCGCTTGAAAATAAGATTCAGGATTAAGTTTTCTCTATGGGTTAAATTGCAAATGGTGTGAGGAATTGCGCTTGAATAGAAGTTTCAGGATTAAGTTTTTTCAATGGTTTAAGTGTTTGGAAAAAGCACTACTTATAAATCTTAAAAAAGAAATTGCGAGAGCAACTGTCTTGAATTTGGGAACTTGACTTTTTCCCGTAAACAATTTTTCTCTTTTTGTTTCACTTCTCATCTTGTCTTCTCTCAACATCTTCCAGGTTAATTAGCACTTGGCCTTGAGTTAAAGCCGTGGCTTCTGCACACTATGAGCTGAGGTTTGAATATCGACCGGACCTGGTTTTTTTCAGCATGTATGCAATGGGAAAAAAATTATGTGGGTAAAATTGCACTGTCGGAGTTTCGTTTGTCTGCTCAATTTTTGTCGGCTGAGTTGCCACATCACGGGTTTGGCTTTTGCTGTTAACGGTTTCATTGCAAGTGTTGTTCATTCTGGTTTCATGATTTTGTTATCTCAAATTCGGAAGATAAAATTATTTTTAATATCTTTGCTGTGACGTGCTGCTTGCTATGCCTCTCTGTTAACTTGTTTTTGTTTTGGAATTAGGGAGAGATGAAATTTAAAGGAGACAGGCTCATCGAAGGCGGAGATTTGATAAAGGAGGGTAAGACTAACGGAATCGGTTACCATGAAGTGCGACAATTTCAAGTGGACTACTACATGATCCGATACTATTTCATTACTTGCTGCCATGGAGCCTATATGGAATCGATCTTAGAAGATTTTCAGAGGGGTATGCCACCCGATATTGTGATTATGAACTCATCTTTATGGGATATTACACGCTACGGTGCCATGTCTGTTAAGATGTTTGAAGTTAATATCACAAGATTGTTGGATCGAATTAAAGAAGTTCTTCACCCCGCGTGTATGTTCATCTGGCTCACGACACTTTTTGTCAGTAGTGAAATCAGAGGAGGTTTCATGATTCCACAGATCGCGCATAAGAAAGACAGTATCAGGTAATACTTCATTTTTCTGCAAAGTTGTCAACTGCGCTGTAAAATTATGACTGTGAGCAAAAGTAAAACAAAATGCCGTTTTTTTAGTCGAAATTTTCCAAAAAGTGCCTAAAAACGCCGTTTTTGGCTTTTTTTTCAAAAATTTGCCAGCAGCTCAGAAAATTTTGTCAAATTAGGGTCTTAATAGTGATTTGGGAGAGCTCAGAAAATCAATTTGGTCGACCTAAAAAAAGTCAACAAATTTTTCAAATTTTTTTTTGAAAATTCTCGTAGCTCGAGAAATTCCTAGGTCCGCGACTGTTCGACACTTAGTAAAATAAACAAAATGACCAACAGTTTTTGTCGAACAATGACTGAAAAAAAATTCCAAAAATTAAAAAAAGTTTTCAAAATGGCGTTTGAAAATCTTCGAAAATTTTTGACCCGATTTTCTCGAGACTGGAAATGTTTTTCAAATGTTCGAATGACGACTGAAAGGGCATGAATACGATCTGTCACTCGATTTAGTCAAATGATTTTTTGTGTACATTTTTTTGCAAAGTTTTTCCTCGTTTTCAATGTCGGAACAAAAAACTGCGTTTAAGTTTTTGTTATGGTGCCGGTGAATGTCTTATAGAAGACCTAATTTAATTTTCGATAAAAATACCCGGAAATTTTTGCTATCTTCGACCAAATTTTTTGTTCCGACCATTGAAAATAGGTAGGAAATTTGTATTCGGTATATATTTTTTTCTATTTTGATTTGCATAACTTGGTCGTTTATCTAGATTGGACATTGTGCAGGCTAACTGGTTTGCGACTATGAAATGCAAGGAGCGCGAGCTGGACGTGTTTGACATGAACTTCAGAATGAGACGTTGGCAATACTCGGAGATGATCAAAGATGGAGTGCATTGGACCCCAAGAGGTTGTGTTTTTGAGGGATCTCTGTTTAACTATTTCCCCCTTCAACTGAAAGAGGGGGAGGGGAGATTCGTTACTATGTGCTAAAATCACTTATGCTTAACCGTTGAATTTGTTGTTTATAGGGGTGGCAGTTCGTTACTAGGTACCCTAAAGGGGAGGGTAGTAAAATATCCATTTTGAGATGGGTGCTGAACAATTGTGGTTTTTCTTATTATTTGGTGAAGAAGAATTGATTTCACTCAAAATATCAGAAACAAAGTGAATTTACAGAAATAGTAAAATTAATAATGAAACTTTTTCAATATAATCGTTTTTATTGAATTGTTTGTTAAGTTTGGATACGCTAAGGTTTCATGGAAATCACCATGAGGTTAATTTTGATAAATAAACTTATTGAACTTGCAAACATACGTTTTGAATTTACATAATTGTAAATTTTATAAAATTATAAAAAGTTCACGAAAAAAATGATTAAGAACATCTTAGTCACTAGAAAAGGAAGCTCCGTGGAATTAATATCGAGGCAATTAAATTTGAGTATGAAACCGAAGCTGCGCAATGCTGTAATATCATCACTCATATTTAATAAAATAATTTGTTTGATTGTAGTTCCACTTGAAGTCTTTTTGCATAAGAGAAGTGGTAGATGTCTAGCTTGAAGTAAAAGCGAAGTTCCTCTTGGGCTCTCACAAAATATATCCCACTATCTGACCATATAATTGAGAGTGTTCTTCGCTTTCAAAAAGAATCAATAAGCATCTTCTTCGTCAAGTTTCTCGGTGTTAACATAGATGCATGTTTAACTTTTAAAAAAGAAATTAACTCAGTGTTACTGAAGATGGCTAGTGCAATCGAAACAATCAAATGCATAAAAGATGAAATTCCTCTACGAACCAGAATTCTTTTACTCAATACCCGTGTTTTAAGCCATTTACACTATCCATGCATGCTTTTCAATGGTTGTACTGAAGAAAATCTTGACAAGCTGGAAAACAAATAAAATGGGGCATACGACTTGTCATGAACATAAACATAAGAGATTCTGTCACATATGTGAAGGAAAAACACAGAATTCCCAGAGATATACTCAAATACCCAACTGCTAGAGATATACTCAAATACAGATCAACACAATATCTTCATAAATTAAGCCAAAACAGAATTAGAGCATTTAACTTCATGCAGTTTCCGAACTCTAATTTCCGTAATAATCATCGCACGGGCTCAATTCTCCTGCCAGTATTGTTTAAAACCGAATTTCTTCGCAGGTCATTCCTATTTACATCAATGAAAAATTTTAACTTGGTAACTCAAAAAATCATCTCCATGAAGAAAACCTGTAAGCTATCAAAAAATTAATTAAAAATTGCATAATAGAAGATAAATTCTTATACATAACGGGGAGACTCTACCAACACTCAACTTCCCCCTTACTTCTTAAGGAGAGTCTTGAATAATCTTATGGATTCAGTAACTGATGAAACATTATTTTATTTACGTATTTAATAATAATGTACACTTGTTCCATCCACAATCAGTTTTGTAACTGCAAGAAATTATGCAACAATAAAGTGTTTTCTCTCTCTCGCAAACTGGTGTTCCTTGATATTATTGGTTTAGAGGGAGTCGCTCGTGTCGTTAAGCAACCAGAGGAAGTACTTTTGATTCAGATAATTGACAGATGGTGATATATACCCTGCCGAAACATGTTTCTCGCTAACTTTTCACAACGAAATGTGTTTGTCGCTAAGTGTTCGAGGTTCAGTCACCTATTCTTGATTTTTGTCGAGTTTGTCTTACTGTTGGCATCATGTCTACGTCTTCGATGCCACAACTCAATAAGACAGTGTTTTGTTTTCCAAAAAGTAGCTATTTTTTTCAAAATGACTAAATATTTGTTTGTGTTTTTACATTTGCGAAGAAAAGTGTATTAGTACGAACTTTCAGTTTTTTCCAACCTAAGTCGCGAATATTGACGCCTCTTTTAGGGCACCTTAACAGCTTATTGACAACATGTGCTTCGACATTCGAATAGCAACCAGTTTACACAGTTGATGCTTACTTAATTCATCAAATGAACCGAAAAAAAAACTATTTGTTTCAAACAACATAACAATAATAGAAAATCGAGTTCAGAAATTTCTAACTATACTTTCATTTTTTCCAACCTTGGTCGCAAATATTGATACCTCTTTTAGGACACCTTAACAGCTTATTGACATAATGTGCTTTGACATTCGAATAGCAACCAGTTTACATAGTTTATGCTTATTTAATTCATCAAATGAACCGAAAAAAACTATTTGTTTCAAACAACATAACAATAATAGAAAATCGAGTTCAGAAATTTCTAACTCATTTTTTATTTTTTCCAACCTTGGTCGCAAATATTGATACCTCTTTTAGGGCACCTTAACAGCTTATTCACAACATGTGCTTTGACATTCGAATAGCAACCAGTTTACATAGTTGATGCTTATTTAATTCATCAAATGAACCGAAAAAAAAACTATTTGGTTCAAACAACATAACAATAATAGAAAATCGAGTTCAGAAATTTCTAACTCAACTTTCATTTTTTCCAACCTTGTTCGCAAATATTGATACCTCTTTTAGGGCACCTGTACAGCTTATTGACAGCATATGCTTTGACATTCGAATAGCAACCAGGATTGTGTAAAACCGATTTTCTTCGTAGGTCATTCCTATTTACATCAATAAAAAATTTTAACTTGGTAATTCAAAAAATCATTTCCATGAAGAAAACCTGTACGCTATCAAACAAATTGATTCAAAATTGCATAATAGAAGATAAATTCTAATACATAACGGGTAGACTCTACCAACACTCATTTTCCCCCTTACTTCTTAAGGAGTGTCTTGAATAATCTTATGGATTCAGTAACTGATGAAACATTATTTTATTCACGTATTTAATAATAATGTACACTTGTTCCATCCACAATCAGTTTTGTAACTGCAAGAAATTATGCAACAATAAAGTGTTTTCTCTCTCTCTCGCAAACTGGTGTTCCTTGATATTATTGGTTTAGAGGGAGTCGCTCGTGTCGTTAAGCAACCAGAGGAAGTACTTTTGATTCAGATAATTGACAGATGGTGATATATACCCTGCCGAAACATGTTTCTCGCTAACTTTTCACAACGAAATGTGTTTGTCGCTAAGTGTTCGAGGTTCAGTCACCTATTCTTGATTTTTGTCGAGTTTGTCTTACTGTTGGCATCATGTCTACGTTTTCGATGCCACAACTCAATAAGACAGTGTTTTGTTTTCCAAAAAGTAGCTGTTTTTTTTTTCAAAATGACTAAATATTTGTTTGTGTTTTTACATTTGCGAAGAAAAGTGTATTAGTACGAACTTTCAGTTTTTTCCAACCTAAGTCGCGAATATTGACGCCTATTTTAGGGCACCTTAACAGCTTATTGACAACATGTGCTTTGACATTCGAATAGCAACCAGTTTACACAGTTGATGCTTACTTAATTCATCAAATGAACCGAAAAAAAAACTATTTGTTTCAAACAACATAACAATAATAGAAAATCGAGTTCAGAAATTTCTAACTATACTTTCATTTTTTCCAACCTTGGTCGCAAATATTGATACCTCTTTTAGGACACCTTAACAGCTTATTGACATATTGTGCTTTGACATTCGAATAGCAACCAGTTTACATAGTTTATGCTTATTTAATTCATCAAATGAACCGAAAAAAAACTATTTGTTTCAAACAACATAACAATAATAGAAAATCGAGTTCAGAAATTTCTAACTCATTTTTCATTTTTTCCAACCTTGGTCGCAAATATTGATACCTCTTTTAGGGCACCTTAACAGCTTATTCACAACATGTGCTTTGACATTCGAATAGCAACCAGTTTACACAGTTGATGCTTATTTAATTCATCAAATGAACCGAAAAAAACTATTTGTTTCAAACAACACAACAATAATAGAAAATCGAGTTCAGAAATTTCTAACTCATTTTTTATTTTTTCCAACCTTGGTCGCAAATATTGATACCTCTTTTAGGGCACCTTAACAGCTTATTCACAACATGTGCTTTGACATTCGAATAGCAACCAGTTTACATAGTTGATGCTTATTTAATTCATCAAATGAACCGAAAAAAAAACTATTTGGTTCAAACAACATAACAATAATAGAAAATCGAGTTCAGAAATTTCTAACTCATTTTTCATTTTTTCCAACCTTGGTCGCAAATATTGATACCTCTTTTAGGGCACCTTAACAGCTTATTCACAACATGTGCTTTGACATTCGAATAGCAACCAGTTTACACAGTTGATGCTTACTTAATTCATCAAATGAACCGAAAAAAAAACTATTTGTTTCAAACAACATAACAATAATAGAAAATCGAGTTCAGAAATTTCTAACTATACTTTCATTTTTTCCAACCTTGGTCGCAAATATTGATACCTCTTTTAGGACACCTTAACAGCTTATTGACATATTGTGCTTTGACATTCGAATAGCAACCAGTTTACATAGTTTATGCTTATTTAATTCATCAAATGAACCGAAAAAAAACTATTTGTTTCAAACAACATAACAATAATAGAAAATCGAGTTCAGAAATTTCTAACTCATTTTTCATTTTTTCCAACCTTGGTCGCAAATATTGATACCTCTTTTAGGGCACCTTAACAGCTTATTCACAACATGTGCTTTGACATTCGAATAGCAACCAGTTTACACAGTTGATGCTTATTTAATTCATCAAATGAACCGAAAAAAAACTATTTGTTTCAAACAACACAACAATAATAGAAAATCGAGTTCAGAAATTTCTAACTCAACTTTCATTTTTTCCAACCTTGGTCGCAAATATTGATACCTCTTTTAGGGCACCTGTACAGCTTATTGACAGCATATGCTTTGACATTCGAATAGCAACCAGTTTACATAGTTTATGCTTATTTAATTCATCAAATGAACCGAAAAAAACTATTTGTTTC